TCACTTTCGAAAAACAAACATTTGGATGAACACATTTGTTTTACAAAAAACATGATTTTTATTGATTCATCGATTCTTTACTTTGCGTCATTCATTAAATACACAAGTGAATTTTTGTCAATTAATGGTTGTTTGTTGTTTTTAATTTCTTCTTTAATTGATTCAAATGTCTCATTTATTGAACAAATGCTGTCTTTCAATTCACCATATTTTTCATTCTGAACTATTTTACAACATTGGTTTTCATTTTCAAAAATAAAATGAAACAAATTATCACTCAAAGGTGTATAGTGATCACCGTATTTGTGTTTGTCATATTCTAATGGATCAACATCAAGTAATTCCATTTGGTCATTTTCATAAATTTCAATATTTTTATCAAAAAGACTAGTTAAATTATATGTATTTTCAATATTACAATCATCAGTAATCGGGTAATGTGTCAACATAAAGTTAAAAATGGCGCAAGCACAACGAAGATAGTGCTCAAACAAATCTTTGTCAAATTGATACGGCATTCTAAAAAACCTCCAAAAATTGACACATTCTTCCATAACTCCTTTCGACAATATTTCTCATTATGTTGTGGGAATAATTAAATCAATGTCGTTTTTCATCATTTTTCTCTTCTGTTCTTTTCAATGGTACGATAACTTTGGTCAAATTTTTTGGAGTGTACTTTTTATTTCCTAATATTAAACCATCTCCAAAACCAAAACATGTTTGGTTGCAAGCATAAAGCTTGACATATGAAATAGATGCTTCACACAATGTAGTCATTACCACAAAACCATTTCTATTAACTACAGTTTCAAATTTCATACCAGATGAATTTGTTTTTACAGAATAAAACAATGGACTTCTTATTTTGACAATCCTGTTATCCTGTGTTTTATGCAATACTCTTGTGGCATTAGTGACTATTGTTTTAGAATCAACAGCAGCGAATACTTTTGCAGCATCTTCAAATGATCTTAAAATACTGGCACTTTGGCCAACTGCAAATGATACAAAGGTTTTGGGATTTGAAGCAATATTTAATATCATATTTTTATAAATATTGTTTTCAAAAAGTCTAAAAAACGAAGGACTTGCCCACTAACATATGACGACATCCTATTATGATAACGATGTTTCCATTTTTTATATATTTCTATTTCTACTTGGGTGCTATTGGTGTCAATTTTGGGGGCGGCTTCTCTATTTGGAGAGAACCGTTCAAGTTTAAGAAGAACAAATGTGAGTATATAATTAAGCCCCGTTCTTAGAATAAACAAGAAAATAAATAAAAGACTTCTTGTATTCAACCCTTTTTGTGTTCTATTTTTGGTTCAGAGTGAACCACAAACTTATTTAAAAGTGAATCACAATTTGGAACAAATTCAACTTCTGAAGATCTGATTATATTGTGAAGTTCATCAAATTGTGAAAATGTCAAGCCACTCAATGCTTTCATTTGGACATCATCATTAACTAAACCATCCATTACATCTCTTCTTTCTATTTTTTCTTCTTTGTTTTCCATTTTAATTTCAATTTTTTCAAATTTACAATAGTCTTCTTCCATTGTTAATCTTTTAAGTATTTCTTCTGGTGTCTTTTTTGTCACTTTTTCTTTTGAACTAATTATAATTAACTCAACATCTTCTTCATTCAATATATGATTATCTTCAAAAGGTAATCGACAGGTTAATGGTAGAGTGAATTTTGGAACATCTTGAACGTCGTTTTTAAACTCTAAACCCAGTGAAATCGGTATTTTCTCGTTGTATTTTCTGACTTCTTTTTTGGCTTCTTTTTTTCTTTTTTTTTCTGTTTTTTGATTTTTTCTATTTTTTCTATTTGATTATTTTTCTCAATTTTTTCAATTTTTTCAATTTTTTCAATTTTTTCAATTTTTTCAATTTTTTCAATTTTTTCAATTTTTTCAATTTTTTCAATTTTTTCAATTTTTTCAATTTGATTTTTTTTCTCGATTTTTTCAATTTTGTTTTTTAATGTTTCTTTGCCATTTCTTTGACTTTTTTATCAAACAATTCTAATTTTTGT